GGTGAAGTTTTCTCCTGAGAAAATGTCCTTACACTTCTACTTGATAAAAGAAATAGTCTGACCTCCATATATCTACACATATGGAATCTACAGATACATAGTGCTAACTTAAGTGACTTAAGTGTCTGACTTGGTATTTGCGGTGAGATCCTAGAAACAACCCCTGTGCACACTGAGGAATTATCTATATGTGGGGTATATTAGATTAAGGAAAATAATTATTAAATTAATCTTATCAATTTTTTATATTCTAAAGTGGCTATTAGAAAGTTTAAAATTACATATGTGGGTCACAATATTTATAAATGCTGATCTAGACCAATTTTAGGAGGATCATAAAACATGTTTGCAAGTTTCTATTACACCCTTTGCGGGAAAAATTACTTCTCAGTAATTCCAATGAGAAATGGATTCATTTAAGAAGCTTTACATTTACTTACCTGGTTACCACTGCCACATACATCAGGCCTCTGTAGGGAAATCATGGGCTTGAAGTGGTTTCTCACCACTACTTTTCAATGTAAAGGTGATAATAATACTTCCTAAAAGGTGGGAATGCTATGCAGATTATATTCTCTCAGTAATGGTAAATACAAGCCATGAAGTACAAGGGGAACCTTTCCTGTTGTAGATTAATTGGATTGGTTCAGTTTTCTCAAAAGTTTCATAGAAAGGATCTTTCTATGGTACTTTGGTTAGTTTACCTAAAGCAAAGATGACAAGCAGCAAAGAAACTCTCACTCAGACCTCCCAATGTTATTGCAGACAATACCAATAGTGGTGCTTTCATGCTGCTTTACACATACTTCCTTACTGAGCATCATTATTCCTTCCCATAGGAGGCCATTCCAGATTTGCTTAGGGAAGGCCCTGGAAATTTATATGCCCCTTGCCCTAAAGTGCTGCCAAGGATATGAATTACAAATGGGATGTCACACAAAAAGTTTCTCTTTACTCTTTGCTTTGGGTGAAATTCTGGCTCCTAGGAATAACAGATGGGAGTTTGTATTTGGCAAGGAAGGACAAATGGTTGTCAGGAGGTGTCATACAAAGTTTGTGTGGCTGATATGCTTTTTAGCAGTTATAAACAGACTACATTTATTATCATTCAAAAGCAGTATATTCATTTATGCAACAGTTATTGCCTTTTATGTTATATGTCTTAGGTTAAAACTGGATTTATGATATAATAGAATGTCAGATATAATATGGTTCCCATGATAAGAATCCATCTGTATCAAAATTTATCTCATACCATTTGAAAAATTAAAATCTCTACCCATGCAAAGCTTGATAAAATATAGATTACAAGGTAGGTACTAATCCTGTTTCTCAGCACCAGTAGCAAAAAAAGAACTTCAACTTCACTTTAGAAGATGTCTCTGATTAAAACCAAATAAAAATAAATAAACATAAAAATGGACAGTTAAATTCAACTATGTCAAAGTTAAATTTAATTATGCCATCTCAAAATCTAGAACCACACCAATTGTCTCCTCTTTTTATTTTATAATATTTACTATGTTTAGCAGAATCAAAGGGCTACTTTTAAAAAAATAAAGTAGAATTTTTTTTGCACTCTTTCCCTCCAATTATTTTCTGCATCAAAACACTACCTAGGTCATCTCACAAAATGGCCTCCAGATCAGTACTACCCAATGAAATATAATATTAACCAAATCTGTAATTTAAAGCTTTCTGGTACATTTAAAAATAAAAACAAACAAAATGTTGTTATTTTAGCACAACCAACAGAAAATTAGAGATCAATTTTACATTTTGTTCATATTAAAACCTTGAAATCTGATTTAATTTACACATCTATCATATCTCAACCAAGATTAACCATTAAAAAAATATGTATCTTTTAGATATAGGTGGACACAATATTTTTATTTTTATGTATGCTGAGGATCTAACCCAATGTCTCACGCATGCTAGCCCAGTGCTCTTCATCTGAGCCACAACCCAACCCCAACCTGAAATTAACCATTTTAAAATGTATTTTATAACCGTATTTGGAAAGGTCCTTTCTCTAAATCTTATAATGACAAAAACAGCTTTGTCTAGGTAAACAAAAATATCATGGTAGAAAACAGATTTTATTATATACCAAAATAGACAATAGAATTACATCTCATTTCAGTGATAAATTGAGAAATTAACCTTGACAACTCCTATCCTATAGAATGCTTAATGGCGTTCCTCTAAATTATATACATATAGCCAAGAAAATGATAAGCCTATATGATGAATAATTTTCTGGTCTTTAAAGGTGTTGGAAACTGGTTTGGGTTGTAGATTAGTGGTAGAGTGCTTACCTTGTACATGTGAGGCACTGGGTTTAAGCCTCAGCACCACATAAAAATGGATAAATAAAATAAAGGTATTGTGTCCATTTACAATGAAAAAAATTAAAAAGGATGATGGAAACTCCATTAATGAGAAACATGATAATATAGGAAATATAATAATGGAAGACTTTATTCTCTATTATGTTAAGGACAATGAGTTTTTCTTTTTAAAAGAACAATGAACAATTTAATATGTGTCTCTTATCCATAAAAGTTATTATTTATCTTGATCATAGCACACTACCTGTAAAATATTATAAAAATATATCCTAAATTTTAAATCTTATTAGTCTGAACTTTGGATGGATGCTACCCAAATTTTGAGAAAAATAAGAAAAAAATAAGTAAATTACAAATGAAGAGAAAAAGCAATCATTAATTTAGTAACTGAATAGCATAGTCAAGAGTTATAAGAACCAAAGCTTATACTAAAGATGTTGTTTTTTAAATGTAGAGGAAGTTCTCTTAAAAGACTATTTTTTACTTTACAATGTAAACTTCAAAACACTTTAATCCCTCTCAATTTCCAACATATTCTTTCTAATTAAAATTGCTTTATTCAAAAGTGAAAGCTCTAAACTAACTTCCAGGAAAGTTGGTATCCTATTCTTTTACATCTAAGGAAAAAAATAACAATGCCTATCACAATACCTTGTCTTCTGTTATTTTTTTCCACCTTTTAAATGAGAGTGGTGTACGTCCAATTCATTTTTGAACAGAATAATAAATTAGAAATTAGGTAATGATTTGAAATGCTTTGCATCATACTTAATAAGGTCTGTTATAGTAAACTATATGCTCAAAGATGTTGATTGTAGAGCAGACCCTGGGAAGGGGTTATCTATATAAACTAATACAGCTGACTCATATCAAAACATTGTGAGATCCCCAACAGCCCAGCTAAGACTTTACCAGGCTTTTTATGACAAATGATTCACTTTGCCATTCTTAACTAAAAGTGACTGATGATAATTTTTAAAAGTAGAGGAAGAAGGAGAGAGGAAAGTGAGAGGCAGGAGAGAGGAAAGTGAGAATTGAGGTGGGAAGGGATTGGGGTTAGGGAATAAGAGCGCAGGGAAGGACAAAGAATCATTTGTGGTCATGCATATGAATAATACCATTGCCTGGATACATCATAATCAGTATAAAATTCCTTGTCAACAAAATCATAAGACAGGCTCATATTTCCACCTTCCTGAGTCTTAAAGATAAGTATTAAGATACTCCATGTAAGGATAATATGTCAAAATAAACTCTATTGTCAGGTGTATCCAAAAAGAACAAATAAAAATGATACTTCCTAAAGAAAATAGGAGGAAAAAAATATTCTTAGTTCAATTTCTTTTATGTTTCATTACATTTTAAAAAATTTGTTTGCTTTTTTTTTCTATTTTCTAAAACACAACTAAACTGGTGCTACAAAATGATGAGTTTGAGCATTTATTCTTTAAGTGATTATTTTAAAGCTGGACACAATAAACAACACCATAGAACTTCCAATTTAACACCATAGTTAGGAAATTGTTTTATTGACATATGCATCAATCATCATCTACAAATTTAAAAGCATCTGTATCAATATTCATAACTGATATTATGAAACAATTACACAGATTATAGAATAAGAAAACTATAGATTAAAATAATTTTTAGGCACTAACATAATAATCATAAACATCTCAATTCTCATACTAGTCTTTCCACCTCATTGATTTGAGTATATGAACCTTAAAACCCTATCAATATCAGCTTTAATGTGTTTTTTTTTCCTGCAGAGTTGACAGTAACTGAGATAAACATTTCCCATTGTTTCATTTTGCTGATTTGTGCATGCTGTGAGTGAAAGAATGACATGACAAGCTGTTCATTAAACAACAACACATGAAGCTCAATTTTTAGTCTGCAACATGAGTCTATGCTTTTTATTAATAGATTGACAGCTTGAGGCTCATTAACATTTCCATCTCAATCAAGTTAAAAGAGATTTACAGGTTCGAAATGCAATAAGACTCTAAAATTAGATGGGGACACAAGTTAAATAAATGTATTTCTCAATCTGGTTAGTCATCTTTAAATGAAATGTTTCGGTAAAGAGTAGAAAAAAAAGGAAAATCTAAAGTTCATTGGGTCTTATTACACAGCAACACAGCTATGAAAAGTCAGTGGAGAACAATGAATTTAGCTTTGTGAAAAGAGTTCCAGATTCAGGAAACTAATAGATTCTTTGTACACTAAGATATAACAGAAAACCAACATTACAATAGTAAAACTTTAATAAAACTGGTAATTTTATAAAATAAATTAATATTATAAAATGACAGACTTAAGCTTTGAAAATATATTTTAAAATTATAATTTAAAGGCACCTTAACATGGTAGAGCATTTTTGAATCACAATAATGTTGATGAAAAAATTAATATCCACCTCTTATAAATAGTAAGGATAATACATATCTGATGAAACATTACAAATAAATATTAAATTTATTAAATTGATAATTTATTAAATTTATATCTCATTCTAACTTAAACTGCATATTTTCTTATGAAAACTCTCTAAGATGGTTTAAAATTAAAAATAAAAGGCCATTTTTATTATTTTGTATTACTTTCTCTTTTAATTTGTCTTTGAAATACTCAATTATAATAATAATCTCTTGGATTCAATTTATTAACATATTCATTATTCATTAATACTGCATTAAACAATTATAATAAAAGATAGTTATATTTTTATATGCACATGGTATTAAAATGTATTATTGGTAACAAAAAATCATCTTGAATATATGTAGCATAAAAATGTAAACTAAAAAAACTGAATATATAAATTCTATTGTGATATTTCAAGAATTAGTTTTCTGGAGGCCATTCTTCATGCACACAGGAAGAACTGCATACTGTATTTTATAGATGGGAAAGAAGATAACTACACCAGAAAACAAAATCGTAAAATATGTATAATAAAACAAATTAAACACAGTACTCTAAAACTTTGTATCCAATTGGTAACATGACCAGATATCCACAGACTTCTTTTAAATAAACCATTTGCCATATGTTTTGAATGCTGAAGCTTGAAGGATTAGTTGGAAGTTTTCTCCTTCTTTCTGCCACTTCCCCATCCACCACTGAGTCGCACTGGATTGTCACGGAATGATATGCGTTCTTTTTTAGAAGGTCTTGAATTTGTTATTATGGGTGCAACTATTCCCTTAATTGAACAACCTAGATGATGATATTAAATGTACACTTTCACTTAATATGATCCCAGTAAAATTATATTTTAAAGAAAGAAATACACTTAAAGTCAACAACATGCATTTGAAAACTATGATCTTTG